TGGTTAGTCAGAGAGAGGGGGAACAGATACTGAGAGAAATAGAGCTGGTTATGAAAATAAGTAGAGAATGTGGTAATGATATAACAAGAGAAAAGAAGTATGTGCTGAGAGAACTGTTGTGTAATGTGTATCTGAAGAACTTTGGTTATTATTCAATCTGCTTCACTTCAATAAATAAGTTCTGTTTCTTTCTGTTCACAAGACAAGGGTTCTGACAAACATCACTTATATTGTGTATTGAGGTAATCCACTGGTGGCAGCGAGAAGAAAACGCAACGTGAGCCTTTGTGAGGGAAAAAACAAGCAGGGGCCATCAGGGCAAACACCACAATGCATGACCACGTTGAGAGTGAGGAATTCAAGGCTCAATCAGCCTCAGTCAGAGCAAAATTACTTTTTGGACTACGGCTCCCAGAATCCACAAACAGCATGGTGAGGGTATTATGACAACTGTAGTCCAAAACAACAGCTTTCCAAAGTTTTGGTCTCAACCTTATGCGACTTGATGGCCTCGGTATTTCTTTATGTCTTCTTAAGACCATTAAAGTGTCTGTCTGGGTTTAAATGGTTCTTCAATGAAGAAAGGAGAGCTTGAATCATGAAGCTGTTCATCCACAGACAGAATCTAGAGAGCAGACAGGAGCATACTGTTTACTCTTCGATAGTACACTGAATGTAGTAACAATTTCTGCACCCATATGTACAAATCAGCACGTGCAACTTGGACAAGGCATTTACTCTTTTTTCATTATGCCCTCCCAAAAATATATCCCAAAAACAAAAATAAAAGCAAAACATTATAGCACCATAAAGACTAACTGTTATCTTTCAATGTGAATTTTTTTAAAATCATCAACGTTATTCTTTGTAGAGCAAGCTCAGGGATACGGCACATGCAATTTAAGCAAAGGCATGCACATTCAGTTCCCTGAAAAGCTGCTGACCTCCACCATAGGCAACACTGAGCTACTGTAGATGGGCCAATGACCTAACCTGCTGTAAGACATATTTCTTTTGCGGGGAAAACCTTGTTAAGGATACAGCTTGGCTTCTCCACAATGGACTCCAGCCCTCCTCTTTCTGATACATCAACCTTACTCAAAGATGACTTGTCCATTACTTAAAATATAATCACTTTGACATGGGGACTCCTGGTCACAGAAGAAAATATTTTCATATTGACTTGGCGAATTTCTACCTTGTCTCTCCATTCACAAAATCCACAAGGTGGCTTATAACACCATCGTACCCCAAACCACAATGACAGTTAACAATATAAATACTGGAAGTAGGATAAAACACAGTATTACAAAACACCGAAGGCTCAAAAACACCCTAAAAGTATGATGCCAATTAAAAACTAATTCACTTGTAACTTTTTGGTCAGAAGCCCAGAAGACAAAGAAAATATTGTCCTGGAAGTTTGAGAGGGAAGACCAAAAAACCAGGTGTCACCATGGAAGAAAAAAATCCCTCTCGGCTAAATAGCTGTCTAACATCTCTCAAGAAAGCAAGCCATGGTTTGTAGATTCAGGCCCTGATTATCAGAATTGTTAGCAGAGCACGCATCCCTCTTTCAAAAGCCATCATGTCCATGCTTCTTATTCCAGGAAAATAAGAAAGATAATGGTGCTTGTTGGAGAACCAGCATGATATAACGGTTGAGAGTGCTGAACTAGAACTTGGGAGATTGGCGTCTAAATCCCCACTTGGCCTATGAAACTCACACGGTATCCTGGGACCAATTACACTTTTTTAGCCTGACCTACTTCACAGGGTTTATTTATTATTTATTTATTTTGTTAAAAAATTTATTCACCCCACCTTTCTCCTTAAAAAGGACCCAAGGCAGTTTATATCATTAAAAACTGTAAATATACAAATGCTGAAAAGGATAAGTAAAAAAAAAACCAGTAAACAAAGGGTTGTTCCGAGAAAATCGTGGCGAGGAAGAAAGCAATGAAATCTGCCTTGAGCTCTTGGAGGAAAGGCACAATATAAATAATAACAGTAAAGAAACATGCTGAGATAAAAAAATAGAGCAGCTAGAGTGGAGATGCTGAGAGCCATGGCTTGTTCCCTCAACATCCAAGACTCAAAATGTCTCCTCTGTGTCTTCCCAGAAAGGATTAAGAAGGAAATCTGAAAAGGAAGGAAGTGACATCAGTAATTTTCAGTATATCAGCCTTGGTTGAAGGAAGGTCAACATAGTTTAGAGCAGGGAAGAGACAGTCTAGGAAACTTGAAGAGGTCCTTCAGTTCTTCTCCCTGCAACGACATAGATCTTCTTCTGTACAAGCTGATCTGGAAAGGGTACTAGTGTTAAATCAATGTGGGAAACCAGACAGTGTTGGTGGCTGGTTCCCTCCAACTCCAAGCTGGCAATGAGCTGGCCATGGAATGGCCATGTCCAGTGATGTCACTGGGCTCCCAATAAAATACTGGATAGAGCTTTTCTGCACAGCATCTTAGCCAACAACCAGATCTCATTGATCTCTCTCCCTCAGATGAGGAAGACGAAGAGTGAAGCCCACTCCACTGGGTGAGAGCAGCCATGTCCACACGGTCCTCTTCCTTAGGATGATGAGTAGGAAGGAAAATCTTGGGAAGATTTCTCAAGCAACATTTCCAAGAACTGACTGAGAACAGTCTACCTTTTCCTTCCCCCTTCCTCATAAAAAGGCAAGGGGAGAGTGAAATCATCTCCATCAAGACTTCCAAGAACCAACTAGGATCCAAAGGGGACCTGTCCAGCCTTTGGTAAATTAAGTGAGAAGAGGCAATGTGATTCTTCACAATCTCAGGAACAGCAATGGCTCCTCTCCGTTCTCTCTGACAAAGAGTAGTTTACTGGTGGACCCACACTTCTAATGGGCTGAAACATCTGTTGGCAAAAGATCTCCCCCACCCTAATTTAAATTGTGGTCAGATTTACACTGGATACTGTGACTATTTATCAATTGGATTTTCCTACAACCGGGTGACCATTGCATTATGAAAATGTGGAACATATGTAAACCATCTCAACATTTTGACTATAAAGCCAATTATAAGTGGTGCCCCGTATAGCGAGGTTAATCCGTTCCGGATTAACCTTCGCTATACGAAAACATCGCTGTGAGGGTAAGGAAAGCCTATTGGAACGCATTAAACTTAGTTTAATGCGTTCCAATAAGCTTCGAAACTTACCCCTCCAACGATGTTTTCGCGTCCGGCGGCCATTTTGGAGCCGCCGATCAGCTGTTCGGCGGCTCCAAAATGGCCGCTGGAGGCCCCAATCATCGCTCCTCTCCGTTCTCTCTGACAAAGAGTAGTTTACTGGTGGACCCACACTTCTAATGGGCTGAAACATCTGTTGGCAAAAGATCTCCCCCACCCTAATTTAAATTGTGGTCAGATTTACACTGGATACTGTGACTATTTATCAATTGGATTTTCCTACAACCGGGTGACCACTGCATTATGAAAATGTGGAACACATGTCATCCATCTCAACATTTTGACTATAATGCCAATTATATATTTTTATACCTGTCACGATTTCAAAAATCCACCGAGAATAACTGCTTGTTCATGCATCTGTGTAGATGGAAAGAAAGGAGTTGTGTATTTTGGGTGGATGTTCCTCAGTTTTGAAACTCCTTTTCGCTTAAGATTCAACACAACTGGAAAATCTCCAAGAACTGTGGTATGAACCACTCAGCACGTTGCGATTAAAGGGTCATAAAGAATGCACAGTTTACACATCCTTTTTTCCATATTTCAAATTCCGAAAGGGAGGGGCATGGCATGTCCTTGCAAGTTCTCCTTTCCATATAGGTAGCTCATGAACATCTTCCTTTGTATGTGCTAATTGACCTTGTCATCTAACATGAATGGAAACTCTCATGTGTGTCACCACACATATGAATTTTTGGATAAAGGTGCATCATGTTACGATCTGCCCTAAAACTAACCCCAAAGCTCTCTCGTTATTCTGGTTAGATTACTCTTGCTTCCAAACGAGTCACTGTTTAATGACCTCAAGGGCAAACCTTCATTCTTTACTAAAAGGGAAATATGCAGATGTCTATTATTTCCTCTCGTAAGATCCTTTCATGTACCAGTAACAAGCCATTTTTATTATTTTAGCAAGCTTGTACACTTTGGGAATACAGTATGTGTCTTGTTTTCCTAACTAGATTGGAGAATTGGAAGTAGATAAATCTACGTATGTAACAACACTGAATGACAACGATTGGTAATGTATTTTCCTGTATAGATGGAAATTGAATGACAAAAATTTTAATGCACCTCTTAATTGCTTCAGTATACCGATATACAACTTTTGCCCTCACAAATAGTTTTCAAGACTATCTCCTGATTATAGGTTGTTTAACTATAGACAAGTACAGCTCACAATGTAGCAACATTTGCTAATAAATCTACAGTGTGTCTGGTCCGTCTTCACCCTGTTTGCACGGCAAGATTCTGAGTCAAAACTTGATAACTAACTTTAATTATTTATTAAGTTTTGACTCAGAATCAGGATATATAATCTGGAGATAGCCTTGATAACTAACTTTAATCTTAGTTTATATTTATATTATATATAAACCGCCCAGAGTAGACATGTTCTAGATGGGCAGTAAATAAATAAATAAATAAATAGACAGACAGACAGACAGACAGACAGACAGACAGACAGACAGACAGACAGACAGACAGACAGATAGATAGATAGATAGATAGATAGATAGATAGATAGATAGATAGATAGATAGATAGATAGATAGATAGATAGATATAATTAGTTATCACTTTGGACAACTACCTCTAGAAATATCTTAAAAAGAGACTCTTCAGTAATGCATGTAAGCAAAGACATGCAGGTCTATTGAGAAGATTGCATTAATACAGGCAAACTCTAATCTTTTATTGGAAGCTTTTATAATATGAGTAACAGACAGCATTAACTTTCACTTTGTAAGAAAAGAAGTGATGTACTACAAAGAACACAGCTGGATTAAACAAAAAAGAAAGAGAGAAATCAGTGATGACAAGCGCAAGTCAAAGCGCAATATTACTGAATGAGTAGGTTAATTAGCGCTGCTCCGGGACATGTTAATTAGCTCACAGGTAAGTAGAATCTGCCCAGTTTTGGAGTTGTTTCCTTAACCAGTAATAAGTATCGAGTGACTACATTGTCTTCTTTCTTCTGCTCAATGTTCAAAAACTACTCTGGAAAGATTTCCACTAGAGACTATTCTGCATCAAAATAACCTTTGCGGACATCGGATGTCTTTAGGAATACCTACATTTGGGAGAAAGTACAATACTGTATTGTTCTGTATCAGACAGAGATTTGCTTGAAAAACATGTTGGAAGATAAGTTAATCCTCTGTAGAAGGCTTTTCTGGAGGTTTCTCTGAATCGTCCCATTCAGGAATTGGTGGCCAAGGTGCAATGGGCAGCAGAGGAAAAGGTAAATAAGGATCATCAGGCAGGGGTGGCTTTGGAGGACTGGATGGTCCTGGAAATGGTCCTGGACTAGTAGGTCCTAAAGGTGCTGGTGGCTGAGGAGATCTTGGTTGCCTAGTATCTGGAGATGCAGGGGGGCCTTTTGGCCAAGGCTTTCCAGGCATAAGGGGCCCCAGTGGTTGAGGGCCTTCAGGTTTGGGAGGTCCCTCAGGCCAAGGCTTCTCTGGAACTGGAACCAAGGGATGATCAGGCTTTGGCACAGGAGGAACATCTGGTGGTCCAGGAGGAGATGGACCTCCCCGGGAGTGACTTGAAGACATGGCGAGGCACCACAGAAAGATGTAAGTCTAACGAAGGCAGAAGAAAATATTAAGATAAAGATATTAAGATATCTCAATTTTAGGTGACAGCATCTGACAGGTGGCACTCAACATTTCACAATAACATGACCATTGAGGTGTGGTAGCAATGAGGATATCAGAGTAATATACATTAGGTTGCAAAGACATGACAAGATTTTTATGACTGACATGCAGTTACCATCAGTATACGACCAAGTCTGATAGACTGTAGGACACTTCATATTGTTAAAACTGGGGATTTCAAATTGCAAGTTCTGACAGAAAAATTCAGCAATTAAATGTTTACTCATAAATACGAAACTGGGTTAAATTTCAGAGCTTCCTCAAATTTCATTTCACCTCTAATATTAGATGCTCTTTATGATAACTCTTACTTTTTTGCAGTTTATAACTACTACTTTTTTCTGTCCATCCTTATACACATTCTGGAAACATTAATTTTCAGACTCTAACTCCTAGTGGTTGGAAGATCTCCAGTTAACTTTCCAGGTTTAGTCCATACATATAAACAATTAACAATTAACTTTCCAAGCTCAGTCCATACATATAAAACCATCTTTTCTATCCAGAGCAGGATGCATCCAGTAGAGGACTAACATCTTCCATCTCAGGAACATGCATTGCATGTCAAGGCACTCCTTAAATCTAAAACTGTGCAAGTAATCAATGGGTATCAATGGGTACAAAATGCACTTGGCACATGTCACATTTGGTGCTACGCTACATTTAACATTTATATTCGAAGGCTAGGCTTTGACACAGCTAACAAATTTGCAGGACCAACTCCAGTGGGTGGCCAAGTAGTGCATCTCCCACTCCATCAGAGGACCTGTGCCCCAACAGTGCTACCTTTCCCCATTCCTATAAATCATCGGAAAAGGTTACTCAATGAATCCTTGGATCTCTTTCCCAGCATTCCCATGGTACATGGGGAAATGTGATCTAGTCCAGCCCCGACCTTACCTCAAGCTGGACCTTTTCGTTCCAGCTGTAGGGCTACTACTTTTTGGATCTGGGCAGGAGTGATTCTTCAGCAGATGGAAAGATCACTTCAAGAGAGATCGCTCCTGTTAAAGCAACCCCTTCCAATTCAGTTAAGCACATGCCTTTCTACCTGTCTGGTTGCCAACTCAGTCAATACTAGCTATGCAGGCTGAGGGGGATCTGGGACTTCTGCTCTAAAAATATAACTTTCCCAAGCCTTGGAATTAAGAGTACTTTCTATATAAACACCGTATCTTGCTTTCGAAAACCCTGACAACATTTGTTGCTAACTATAGCTCTTATCAGCTCCATAGTACCACCATTCCACCCGCAAGAACAGCCCATATGTTTCGAACTAAAATTCTCTAGCCGGTTATATACCTAAAGGCTGGAAAAATGCTGGCTTTGGCTTCCTCGAGAAGGCAGCAACTCCTCTCTGAATCAAAATGCTTGGATGTTTTTGGGGAGTTCCACTTGCCTTATAAACCCTTGAGGACCAGACAAACTAGAGCTGTAGGTTACTTAAATAGCTTTGCCTCCACCCAAGCTGGAAGCTACTTCCCCTATGTGGTAATGCAGTTTTGCACTATGCACACAAAATGCAGGTTGTTATCCTAAGCCGTTTAGAAGTTGCAAATAAATCTGGTCCGTGCCAACATTGGACATACATTTGGAATTTGCAGGGAATCTAAAATCCCTTTGATAAAACAGTAAACTTCTCTTAAGTTTTTTTTTTAATCAAAGGTGGTGCAGAAATACTATGAGACAAATAAAATAAACAAGACATCCTTTTTCAGGGTAGAGAATGTGAATTCTGTCACACTTCAAAATGTGAAGCTGTATCACAAAGCTTCGCTGCCTTCCTGGTTAGGAAATGCGGGAGGTTCAGGATCACTCTTTCCTTGCATGGAAAATACATTGTGATCAAGTTCTGGGCCACCCAAGTGGCCTTTCTACGGGCTGCTATGAGAAACAGTAACAACATTCAGCCTTTGAGGTGTTAATTAGGACTCCGGCTGATCATGCAGCAGGTGAAACTAATCAACATTGAGAAAGGATTTTGGAGGAATGGTCATGGCGCGGCCAAATCTTACACATTCAGAAAAAAAACTGCTGAGGTTCACAATGTGTCACCACACCTTGTGTGGGCAGATTTGTGATCGGGCAACCTCCGGTCATTTTTGGGGAAAGGCACCCTCTCTCTGAGTCAGAGAATGGGGAGGAACTGTGAATTGTGCAGTTCCTCCACATCCAGGAAGGCTGGCAACAGTTATTTTGCATCGTGTTTAGTCGTTTAGTCGTGTCCGAGCAACAGTTATTTTGCATCATCCCTATTTAAAGGGCTGGTTTTTACTTCAAGTTACTAAGTACTGCCGTACCATGCTCTGCACACTCTGAGGTCATAAGCAGAGGCCCTTCTTGCTTGCTTGCCAGCTGGGTTCAGCTTGCATCACGTGTTCTCAGTGCCTTTTTCCTATCAAAGCTTTGGATTTTATTGGTCATTCCTGTTGTTTGCAACTACATTTTTTTACTGTGTAATATTTTGTTTTATATTATTCTTCTCTTATGTAACATTGGGAGTTCTGCCATTGTGCTTTAGTCGTTAAGTCGTGTCTGACTCTTCGTGACCCCATGGACCAGGGCACGCTAGGCCCTCCTGTCTTCCACTACCTCCCAGAGTTGGGTCCAATTCATGTTGGTTGCTTCGATGACACTGTCCCGCCATCTTGTCCTCTGTTGTCCCTTTCTCCTCCTGCCTTCACACTTTCCCAACATCAGGGCCTTTTCCAGGGAGTCTTCTCTTCTCATGAGATGGCCAAAGTATTGGCGCCTCAGCTTCAGGATCTGTCCTTCCAATGAGTTACAGTAGTTCTTTTGGCAAAGAGACAGATTCCTACCTATCTCTATGCCTCCTATCTTACTAGTCACTGCTCTGATTTTTTTTAGGGTTTTGTTTTTGTTCCCTTCGTTGTTGCCACTACCATTTTCCTAGAAACAGATCCAGAGTATCTCTCTTCGGGCAAAAAGGCCCAGCTATGACTTTTCTTTCTGAAAAGACGATTCAGTATTTACTGAGCAAATGAAAGAGGGACCTGGGAAGTGAAAGCCAAGTTGATGATAAAGAAGAGGAGAAAGAAAGAAAGAGGGCCTAGCCGTTGAAGGGAGAAGAGAGAGGAAGAAAAGATGGCCCACTAAAACTGCTGCATAGCTCAGTGGTTTAAGAGTTTGGCTGCAGAGCCAGAGGTTGGGAGTACGATTCCCCACTGTGCCTCCTTGACAGGGGCTGGATTTGATGCTCCGTAGAGTCTCTTCCAGCTCTGCAGTTTGAAAATCAAACCATCCAATATCCTCACTACATGAGACACCTCTTATAATCACCTCTGGAAAAGGACATCTTTGTGAAGTTGAAAGGATCATAAGCAAAATGAAAACACAAGACGAATACATTTCAAAATCTTCAGGACCTTGCTTACGAGGAACTGAGTATTATCACTTCAGAAAAGAAGAGTGTGGGCCCCAGCAAAACAGGTCAACTAAAACCATTAGCACAATTGTTAACATTCTGGGCAAAACATGAACCAATTAGAAGTTAATTAAGCCATCATCTTAATGGTATTGGGCTCCCACTGCGTGAAAAAAAAAATCACTAAATTGACCTAATCAAAATAATTTATTTATTCCAAACTTTTCCTGCTATCATTACTTTATGGGATATTTCTTTCAGCATATTGCTGGCTAGCAGAACAGCAAACCAATCCTTCTGTGGATCAGTGACCTGCACATACAGTCCTGCCCCACTTAATGATTGCCCGCATTACGACGAATCCGCTTTACGACAATCTTTTTGTGATCGCAATTGCGATGGTCTAAATGGGGGAATTTCGCTTAGTGGTGATCAGTTCCCTGCTTCGGGAACCAATTTTCACTTTAAGAGGATCAAAAACAGCTGATTTTCAGGTTTTCAAAATGGCCACCGGGTGCTTAAAATGGCTCCCCGCTGTGCTTAGGGACAGATTCCTCACTATACAGGCAGCGAAAATGGCCGTCGTATGGAGGATCTTCGCTGGACGGTGAGTTTTTACCCCATTGGAATGCATTGAACAGGATTCAATGCATTTCAATTGGGTTTTTAATTTCACTTTACGATGTTTTCGCTTAACGGTGATTTTCCTAGAATGGATTATCATCATTAAGCGAGACGTAGGGCCATTCTGAGGCTGTTTCTAAGGGAGCTGGCAGGGCAGGGTCTCGGAATGCTCTTCGCTGGACGGTGAGTTTTTACCCCATTGGAATGCATTGAACAGGATTCAATGCATTTCAATTGGGTTTTTAATTTCACTTTACGATGTTTTCGCTTAACGGTGATTTTCCTAGAATGGATTATCATCATTAAGCGAGACGTAGGGCCATTCTGAGGCTGTTTCTAAGGGAGCTGGCAGGGCAGGGTCTCGGAATGCAGAATTAATTTCTGGCCATCACCAAGGTGGTCTGAGAAAGCTATATTAGTTTTTGGCAAGGTCTCTTAAATCAACTTTTAAACATGAATTTACTTACTTAGGTTGCAGCAACATTGGCTTCAGTGTGCAAGCTAATGTGAGTTGTTTTGGAATGGTCAAGCTTGATTAGAACAGACTAGTTAAGCACATGCATTCCAAAGCCAATATAGTGAAGTGGCTTAATAAGTGATCAGCTTCCAGATATTGGCAAATTAATCATTTCCCCCACTCGGCAGAAAAACAGTCATTCAGTTTAGGGATATCGCTGATGTGCTATGTCAGATATAAAACATTTTCTTTACAAAAAAATCTTTTCTTTGCCTTGCTGGTAAAGAAATTCAGTAACATCACTTGAAGCAGTAAATCAAAGATAAATCATAAAGAACCTAGTAATTTTGATTCTCTTACTCACATTGCAAGGAACAGCTTAGAGGTGACACAAAGGAAGTTCTCCATTTCCTTAGTCAGTGACTTACACTGCTGTTTTTATTAGTAGTTGTGAATGTACACATTACATTGGACTTTGTGAACCCCAAGCAAGAGTCTCTGGTTGGGCTACTTCTGACTGCTCTGTATTAGGAAAGGTATTTGCAACACTTGCCTCCTCGTTAGCCTCTCATGCTTCCCACCCCTCTGTATCTATTTACACCTGTATCTTTGGCCTCTTAAAGGCCCAAGAAGTGATGGGGACATAGTGTTAACAAGACATCATTTTTCTACTGTTTCGTTTCCTTGTCTCTCTTTTTTTTATTCTCTTATTCACCCAAACAAAACCCTGTGATTCGTTCTTTGAGGATGATAACAACAACAATAACACTAATAATACCAGTACTAATACTACTAATACTACTAATACAACAAATACTAATACTGATGATGATGATGATGATGATGATGATGATGATGATGATGATGATGATGATGATGATGATGATGACTGCAGAGTTCGAAGCGGCCCTATGGATCATCAAGTCCAACCCCTGTCAAGGAGGCACCGATGCAGTACCTCATTTGCCTTGAATCACATTCTTTGGAGAAAGACAAGATCTACATTTAATAAATAAAGAAAATGCTGTAATAAATAAACAAAGATAAACTGTATTTTTATCATCTTATGGTGTAAGCTACCCAGAAAGTAATGTCCCTGAGCAGCAGGTACAAGGTAAATTTTAAAAATGTGAGTGGTGTGACTTTTTTATATTATTGGGAGTGGACACCCTTTCTTAAAGGTGTGATTAATGCTCACGACATTTCTCACTCTCAGAAATGTCCCCGTTTCATCATGCTGAGATGATCTCAGACTTCCCCTATAACCTTTTCCCTTTTCCTTCCAAGTGAGTCTTTCTTCTGTATTTGTATATATACTTTCAAAGCAGTTCACAATCTTTTGTTATGCAGGAAAGATGCCGTTCTCTGCAGCAGTTGTAATACTGTAATCTTGTGCAGCCTAGCATTTCTTTCAGGGGGGAAAAATGACCACAAAAGTGAAACCTGTAAACAGCAAAC